CACCGCTTCCCAAATATTTAGATAAGATGGGGTGAGATCAGGTGCCTTCCTCAGCTGGGCGGCTCCCGTCCTTGCGGTGGAGCAAGTGGTCCCCGGCATGGATGGTGGTGCAGAGGGAAGTGGGGGGTTGGGGTGTTGGAGCCGGCGGGAGCAGAGCCTTTCCCAGCCATGGCACGTGCTGCCTGGCTCCTCGTTTCGGTGTGCACAGAGGACTTTTTGGCACACAGGACCTGCGCAGGCAAGAGCTTGTGCATCATAGAAACACAGAGTCATTAAGGTTGGAAAAGACCTCTAAGATCATCAAGTTCAACTGCCAACCCAACACCACCATGCCTGCTAAACCACGTCCTGAAGTGCCACATCCACATGTTTTTTGAACACCTCCAGGGATGGGGACTCCACCCCCTCCCTGGGCAGCCTGGTCCAATGCCTGACCACTCTTTCAGTAAAGAAATTTTTCCCAATATCCAATCTAAACCTCCCCTCATGCAACTTGAGGCCATTGCCTCTCGTCCTATCACTAGTTACCTGGGAGAAGAGACCAACACCCCCTCACTACACCCTCCTGTCAGACAGTTACAGAGACCAAGAAGGTCCCCCCTCAGCCTCCTCTTCTCCAGACTGAACAACCGCAGCTGCCTTACCTGCTCCTTATCAGACCTGTTCTCCAGACCCCTCCCCAGCCCGGCTGCCCTTCTCTGGACACACTCCAGCCCCTCCATGTCCTTCTTGGAGTGAGGGGCCCAAAGCTGAGCACAGCACTCGAGGCACGGCCTCACCAGTGCCGAGCACAGGGGCCCGATCCCTGCCCTGCTCCCGCTGGCCACCCCATTGCTGACCCAAGCCAGGCTGGCGTTGGCCTTCTTGGCCACCTGGGCACACTGCTGGCTCCTGTTCAGCCGGCTGCCGACCAGCACCCCCAGGGCCTCTTCCTCCAAGTAGCTCTCCAGCCGCTCCTCCCCACGTGGCATCTGTGCAAGCTCAGCCTGTGCACGCAGGAGCTGTGTGTACAGAGTCCTTGCGTACAAGACCTGTAAACGCAGAAGCTGTGCAGGCAAGGTCTGCGCGTACAGGATCTGCACACAAAGGATCTCTGCGTGCAGGAGGGCAATCTTAGTCAGCTGCCAGCTGCTACAAAGCATTGAGCAGACGCAGAAAACCTCAGGAGCATCTTAGAGGGCTCCATGCACCCCTCTACCATCCCTCCGGCGACGTGCAGGCTAACTGTTCCTGGGATGCTCTATTTTATCCGTCAGCAAAGCATGTTCCCTTGCATCTACAGAGCCATGGGGAAGCCCTAGGGCAGACAGGGTCCCTTGTTGGTGGAGACAGAGAGTAAAAACCTCAGGAGGTGCGAGGACTGCACAGCCCTGTCCCGCTCCCACTGCAGCTCCTCAGCCTCACCCAGCCCCCCCACCCCACTTCCCTCAGGGACCTGCTATTCCTGTAACACCGAAAGCTGCGGCCCTCAGATAAGGGCCCTGGTGAGGAACAGCAGCCAAGAGCTCGGCTTCTCATAAAGAAACTACTTTTAAACTTTTCCTGTTCCCTGGGAGAGCCGGCAGTGGCCGTGCAGTGCAAAGGGATGGGAGAGGATGGGGATGGACACGGCATCCCCGGTGATGGGGCAGGATGGGCATGGGCACGGCATCCCTGGCGATGGGGTTAGATGGACACAGAGACATCATCCCTGGTGCTGAGGCTGGGATGGGAATGGACACAGCATCCTTGGCGCTGGGGTGGCATGGACCCAGACACAGCATCCCTGGCACTGGGGTGGAATAGACACAGAGACATCATCCTTGGTGCTGGGGTGAGGATGGACACAGACACAGCATCGCTGGCACTGGAGTGGCATGGACCCAGACACAGCATCCCTGGAACTGGGGTGGGACGGTGGATGGACACAGCATCCCTGGCACTGGGGTGTGATGGACACAGAGACAGCACCCTTGGCAATAGGGTGGGATGGGGATGGACAAAGAATCCCTGGCGCTGAGGCAGGGATGGACATGGACACAGCATCCCTGGTGCTGGGGCAGGATGGGGATGGACACAGCATCCCTGGCACTGGGGTGGGATGGGGATGGACACAGCTTCCCTGGTGCTGGGGCAGGATGTTCCTCAGGGGTCCCTGGGCGGGGGGATGGTGCTGAGCCCCTGCTGTCACTGCAGGCTGAGTGGAGGACCGCCAGCGTCAACGTCTCCTTCTTCGAGAGCTTCTGCTCAACAGGCCAGCACGCTTTCAACGCCAGCAGCGAAACGTGCACGGTGATACTGACCTCCTGCGAGCCCCGCTCCCAGCACTGGGCCGTGCGTGCAGTTCTGCACAGTGAGTATGAACCCACCATCCTGCCCTGAGGGGAATGGGATGGGACCGGGGTCGGGGACCCTGGGGGTCTGCTAGAACTTGGTCGAGGGGTTCTTTTCCTTGGGTTGCCCCCTTTCAGAGGCTTGGGAGAGGCAAAACGGTCCCAGAAATGAGCTTTGCTCCCCAGTGAATGCACCAGATCCCTCTCCTATACGTGACAAATCAAGGCAGGGACCAGTTTCCAGGAGGAAAAATTCCTTCCAGGTGGTTAAAGCCCAGTGCCCAGCTCAAATCCTTCCCGAAGGGACCATGGAGGGGAGTTTCTTGCCCTTAATGGAGCCCTTCGGGGAAATCCCGCTCAGCCCAGGAGTGTTCAGACATCGCTTTGGCACTGGGTGGATGGAGGCATCACGCTGCCTTACTGCCAGAGGGAGGAAGGACTCGGCCTCATCCTCCTCCTCTTTATCATCAGGGCAAGGGCTGGGTGGGGGGTCCAGCCTCCAGCAGCTGACCATGTGCAGGGCAGCCCAGCTTTAGGGACTGATCCCGCACTGCTCCTGCATGGCCTGCAGTGACCGGTTACAGCCTGTGGCTGCTGCCACCCTCAAAGCACCCACTGAAGCAGAGACCCCCACCGGGTTATGCACAGCCTGGGCCTGGGGGATAGTGGGAACTGGGGTCTCTGGGGCTGTGCCCCTGCCAGGAGAAGAGGTCCCGGCTCCTTGTCTGGCTGTGGAGGCATCTGCAAGGGTTGGCTCCATGCCTGCACATCTCCATCCACCTCCTCCGGAAAGAAGGACACCTCGTTGACTGGGAGATGGTGGCACAACCTGCCACCCCACCCCTGTGTTCACTGCAGCCTCTTTCTTCCCCCAGTCCCTTTGGACCCTGAAAAAGTCCTCAAGGAGCTGAAGGAGAAGAAGGACAAGTTAGAGCAGGTAAGCAGGCCCCCCCTATCCTTCCCCACGGATGTCCCCCAAGGTGGGTGGCATGGGAAGCCCTCCTTGGGGCCTGACTCATCTCTCCCGTGGCAGCTCGGCATCGCCAACATCACCTACGACAAAATGGAGAGGGAGATGATAATCAACGATGAGTTCAGCACGCCCCTGATCATCACCATCATCACCCTGGCCGGCTCCCTGCTGCTGATTATTTCTGGCACTCTTTGCAAGCGCTTCTCCCAAAAGAAGGACCAGGTAAGGTGGGAAGGGGTGGAACAGGTACTCTGGGACCGTTTTGTCCCAGAGGCATCTTCAGGAGGTGAAGAGCATCAGCGTTGCCAAATCTGCTGGTGGAGACATCCTGGCACCACCCTCGCGTGTTGCTCAAGGGATGGCCATGTGTTGTGGATGCTCCAGAGGGGCAGGAGCTGCCCTTTGGGGGTGACGGGGTGGGGGGCAGCCAGGATGAAAACCAGGGAAACGAGGGGCTGGTGGTGGGGTGCAGCAAGGAGCAGCACAAAAAAACCTCAAAAATAGCTTTATGAGCAGAGGAGCAGGATTGGGTGCCCAGCATCACCCCAGTGCCTTCCCAAAGGGTGCCCAGAGCCATTTGCAGGGCATGGGGACTGCAGGAGGATGGCCGCAGGATGGCATCGACGCCTAACGCTGCACAGCTCAGCCTTTGGAGAGCTGGGCCACGGCCAAATTTCAGAGCAGCAGCAGCAGGATTTAAGGAAGAACAGACAAGGGAAAGAAAAAAAAAAAAAAAAAAAAAGAAACAAGGGAAAAAAAAAAAAAAAAAAGTATCATTTTTATTTCAGGAACCAATTCTGGATGATTTTAGCGTAGCATCCACTCACAAGGACTGGCCATTCCCATGCCCTGCAGCACTGGCCGGCAGAGGTTTGCATCGGCCCCTGCTGCTCTTGCTCAGGATTTAGCTCCAGAGGAAAGACAGCAACAGAAAGGGGGGGTAAAATAAACCCCCAAAAAACAGCAAGACCAAATGATGTAATTAGGGTAAACCACCCTCCCGATGGAGAAGCAAACCCCTGGGTCCCACTTTGAGTCATGTCCCCCCAGACCAGCTCATCCTTCCCGGGGGTCCCCAACCTCTGCCCCACGTACCAGGATGAGGGATAAGGCGCCCTTTGCTTTCAGTGTCTGCAGCCTAACGGAGACGAGCACAGGAGGCAGGGAAGGTAAAACCAATGCCGGAGTCAGACTTGTTTTTACAAGGCTTGATTTTTCGGGAGGGAATGGGGGAGGATGGAAGACCTCGACAGGTGTTTGATCTCCACTGTGGTCCCCTTGGAGCCGATGGGTTTTGCTGGGGCCATCCCCCAGCTGAAATCTCCTTGGTCAGGGGGAAAAAAACCCCTCCCAGCCAGGACAGGGAGCAGCATAAAACCCTTTCCCCCCGTATTGTTCAGAAAACAGGTAGAAATACGGTATTTTTAGCGATGGGAATGCGTGTCCCTCAAGTAAGATGCTGCAGAGGAACAGGTACCAGCCCTGGCTGGACGCTCTGGAGGTAAATACCCACCAGCCACAGGATAAGGCAGCAAAACCAAAGCGAGGGATGCCAGTTCGTTCCAGAGCATGGGCAAACATGTTTTTCCAAGCGTTTCACAGAATCACAGAATGGTGGGGGTTGGAAGGGACCTCTGTGGGTCACCTAAGTCCACCCCTCCTGCCAAAGCAGGGTCACCTACAGCAGGCTGCACAGGACTGCGTCCAGGCAGATCTTGAATATCTCCAGAGGAGAAGACTCCACAACCTCCCTGGGCAGCCTGTTCCAGGGCTCCATCACCCTCAGAGTGAAGAAGTTCTTCCTCATGTTCAGCTGGAACTTCCTCTGCTTCAGTTTGTGCCCATTGCCCCTTGTCCTGTTGCTGGGCACCACTGAAAACAGTTTGGCCCCATAATATCTGCAATAGGTTTGGCCCCATAATATTTGCAATAGGTTTTTAGGAAATCAAACACGTTTCTCCTTTTTGGATTTATCTTTGGGTGGTTTCTTTTGTTTTCCTCCTGCTTCTTTTCCAAAGATGACTTGAAAGTTGTTTTTTTTTATTTTTATTTTTCTCCAACCCTCCCTCCCCCTCCTTTTAAACCCTGCTGTTGTTTTACCTTGGAAATAACCAGCACATCCACCCTGATCTCCCCGGGTTTGATGATGGACATGTGGCCCTGATCTTTAATGTGAGTTCCAACACAGGGATCGGAGGGGCGGGCGCCGCATCTGTAACACCCCCAGCTCTCACCCCCCCACACACATTGCTTTGTAGGATTCAGTAGCTTTTAACAGGACTAAAACTTACTATGCCCAGCTTTAAAAGACCCCTTCCCCTTGCTGCACGGCGGGGTGGGGGGTGCCTTGCCATGGCCGGAGAAAGCACTGCCCGAGCATCCATCCATCAAGGGGCAAAGCAGCCCCTGCGAGAGCCCAGGTACTTCCTCTGCTTTCGTCTCCTGACATTTATTAGGAGCACTGTAATAAAGCAAGCTGTAAATCCAGGCGGATTTTTAACATGGGTGCCTAGCGAGAGCCCTGCGCTTACCAAAAAAGGGCTGACCGAGGACTGCAGCTCCCCGCTGAATCCCTCCGGGGTGGGATGGGGATGAAGGAGCCACCGTGGCGAATGCGGAATGGGGATGGGGGTCTGCCAGGGGCTGAAGGGCTGGGTCGGAGCCTGGAGCACAGCGTACCAAAGGACCAGGGTGATGCAGCGCCTGATTCACCCGTGAGTCAGCCAAAACCACGCGTGGCCAAAGCAAAAGGGGCAGGAGGGGTGGATCTTTCCCTGCCTGGTTTCCACAGGGAGCTCCAGAATAGGGCTCCAGGACGATGCTTATGGAGGGGCAAACAGGCTGGCAGCATCTGCAAGGTGGGAGGTGCCCCAGGTCGAAGGGTAAAATGAAAATAAAGCAGCTAAAAAGGGACAGGGGTGCGGAAAAGGGAGGGGAAGCATAGAGTGGAGTTGGGGAGGCAGGAGCTGGGATGCAGGGTCGGGCTATGGCAATGATGCTCAGCCTCTTCCTCAGGTCCCAGGGGGGACCAAGCCATGGCCTGATGGCCAGGCTGAAGCTGGCAGCTGCTCCTGGAGGTCTTCTGCGCATCTCTGGCTGCTCTTTCCTCCCTGCCACCATTAGCAGAGTCTGTCTCCCTTGCCAGCTCCATGCTATCTCCTCGCTGCGCCAGCGCTGACTGCAGCCCCCAGCCTCAGTCTCCCCGTGAAAGTTTCTATATGTGGTTATATACATCTGTACGGGGCAGTGGCCACAGCTGGCTGGGAGGTGACAGCCCCGAGGTGGTACACACACAGCACGGCCAAGCTATTTTTCATGGGGGTTTCTGGGTTTTCTTTCCTCTCAGCAGCGCCTGACTGAGGAGCTGCAGACCATGGAGAACGGCTACCATGATAACCCCACGCTGGAGGTGATGGAGACCTCCTCTGAAATGCAGGAGAAGAAGGTGAACCTCAACGGCGAGCTAGGGGACAGCTGGATCGTTCCTCTCGACACCCTCATGAAAGAGGACCTGGAGGAAGAGGAGGACACGCATTTATAGGATGCAGAACTTGATCAAGCAAAAAACGACCGCCACTCCCCCAAAAAAACAAACCATAATCCCTCCACACACACGCACACAACTCCAAAACAAGGCAAAATTCCCAACAAACTCCAGAAAATCCCATAACTGACTCATCACAGCCCCTTGTGCCACCACATGGGGTGCAGGACGGACGAAGGGACATGAGAGGACACCTCCAAGGCGCACTGCCAACACAAGCCAGCAGGGTGGCTGCATCCAGGCGAGCATCCTGCATCACCCACGGGTGCTCAGCAGGACCTGCCACGCCAGACCTGACCAGCCGTGGGCGAACGGCGGGGGTTTTCTCCCCAAAAGCTC